ATCTATAAGATGGTAGCCAGAAATCCAAACACATCAGTAAACACAAATAAAAGCAGAGAAAACTTTCTAGCTACAAAGATTGCCAGACTAGATAAAAGTGGAAAATTATGCTACAGGCTTTTATATGAGGCAAATATTTAGCAAAAGAAAGCCAGTGAAACCACATTAACTTTAGACAAAATGGTCTTTAAGAAAAAAAAAAAGTATTATAAAGTCACCTGGAAGATAATACTAATTCTAAACTCAAACAAGATTTTTAAAAATCCACCATTTTAACATGTCCATCAAGTACACAAAAGGTCACTTAGATACACCAGAACAATAAGAGTTACTAAGAACACATATGTGAAAGGCATAACTAATATAAGTTCAATTTAATGGGCACACACAGAATACACACACGTGTATTAATTAGGGTATATATACTGTATATACATATATATATAGTGCACAAGTGGAATATTTCTGCTTATATTCGAGGTACAAAGTTAGCCTCAACAAATTTTCAGATATAGTATTAGTATCAGATTATCTGATCACAATGCAATTTAGAAATTATTAACAAAAAGACAAAGAGCAATCCTATACTTCTAAAACTTAAACATACTTTTGGGCTTCCAGTCAAGAAGGCGGAGTAGGCAAATGCTGTGCTTACCTCCTCCCACAACCACATCAAAATTACAGCTAAAATACAGAACCATCATTGAGAACCACCTGAAGTCTAGCTGAACAGAAGTCTTGTAACTAAGGATATCAGAGGAAGCCCTGTTGAGACTGGAGACACAAAATGGGCTGGTCACCCACTCAAATATGGTAGTTAAAAATCAGGAGGAATATCTCTGCTATGGAAGTCACCCCTGAGGAGTGAGGGTCCCAGCCCCACAAAAGAACCCCCAGCACAGGGTCCCAGTGCCAGGAAGAGAAGTCCCCATAACTTCTGGCTGGTAAAAACCAGTGAGGACTGCCCTGCCGGTATGGCTCAGTGGTTGAGCATCAGGGGGTCACAGTTCAATTCCCAGTAAGGGCACATGCCTGGGTTGTGGGCACATGTCTGGGGATGCAGGAGGCAGCCAATCAATGATTCTCTCTCATCACTGATGTTTCTAGCTCCCTCTCTCTCTCCATTCCTCTCTGAAATCAATAAAAGTATGTTAAAAAAACAAACTAAACAAAAACCCAGTGGCGATTGTAGCTGAGACAGAGGGCTGCTGGAGTCTCAGGCATTCCTCTTAAAGGGACTGCTCTGACTTTAGACTAATTCCCTCTGAGCTCCAGCACTGGGGTAGCAGCTTGAAAGGTACCAGGGACATATAGGGAGGAACTGAACTGTCTGGCTTTAGGCAAGGGCTGGAGGGGCCCTTTCTCCAAGTCAGAAGTGCTGGCAGAGGCCATTGTTCCTTTTCGGAGCCTTCCCCCAACCCAGCCTACATACTGGCCATATCTGAGTCTCCATCAACCTCATGACACTGCTTGCCCTGCCCTGGTGATTCCGAGACCACACCCCACCCACCCAACTCTCGGACACACCCAAGCCGGACACACCCAAGCCACTTCCAGTGGCTTTTCCATGCAAATAGCCTGTCTTGGCTCATGGTGAGAACTTTCCTAAAATCTCTCAAAGGTTCACAAACCCCAAACAAGCGGCATCTAGTCTCCAGGTGCCCCTTATCTCTCACTAAGCAAGCACAAGCCCAATACCGGTGGCAGCTGGCCTCAATTTGCAGCTCAGCCAGGCCCAGCACAAGTGGCAACCATCTGCAGATCACTTGGCAGCTCATACCTAGTGACCTGGGCAGGGCACAGGCAGCAGCTGACCTTGACGGCACCAAAGCTCCTCCCAAGAGCCTCCAGAACCAACACACCCAATGGCCCGCATCAGACCCACCGCAACATCACCCAACCTCCTCCACAAATGACACACCCAAAGGGTAGACTCAGCAGGCAACAAAGGAACACTAAACCGAATCCTGCGCCACAGGGTCAGCCCCCAACCCCCCTGTCAACAGCTCCTCTGCTGTAGTCACAACCACGCCTCACAACCAAATAGCCTGAGAGTCAACCCCTCTCCTGACATACCAGAAGTAATCAAGGCTCAACTACAACGGGAGGGCTCACACCACAGACCAGGGAGACTGCGCCACAGGGCCCCATAGGACACCTACTACATAGGCCACTCTACCAGGACTGGGAAATATAACACTCTATCTAATACATAGAAACAAATGCAGGGAGGCAAACAAAATGAGGAGACGAAGAAACATGTCCCAGGACACCTACTACATAGGCCACTCTACCAGGACTGGGAGATATCACTCTACCTAATACATAGAAACAAATGCAGGGAGGCGAACAAAATGAGGAGACAAAGAAACATGTCCCAACCGAAAGAACAGAACAAAACTCCAGAAAAAAAAAAAAAAGCTAACAAAATGGAGATGAGCAATCTACCAGATGTAGGGTTCAAAACACTGGTTAAAAAGATGGTCAGTGATCTCAGTGAAAACTTCACAGAGACAGGAAACACAAAAATGGAGATGGAAAACATAAAAGAGAACCAGTCAGAAATGAAGACTACAATAACTGAAATAAAGAATAAAGTAGATTAGGTAAAGTGCTTGATCAAATCAATATTTGGAAGGTAGCAGAAAACATCCAATTAAAACAGCAAAGCCCAGCCGGTGCGGCTCAGTAGTTGAGCATCCCATGAACCAAGAGGTCACCGGTTCGGTTCCCAGTCAGGGCACATGGCCTGCTGACAGTATCTTAAAGGAGACAGCCACTCGTCATAGAAACATACCTTAAATGGCAGTAGGGACATATGTGACCCTCAAGAGTTGGGCAGATCAGGAATGATTTCCAGAGGAAGTGATGCTTTGAGCTGAGACATATGTATAAAAAGAAGGTACCTGGGGAAAGAGCCAGAGAACAGCATTCCAGAAAAGAAAGAACAGCATCTGCAAAGTTATAAAGTGTTAGGTGGGCATTAAAGTAAAACTCTAATTTAAATTTCAGATGGTCAATATAAAAACAGGGAGTAGAAAATGGCAAATGTTTATGCTTTCTAATCTACTCCATTAGTAAGAAATTGGTTTACCTTTCTACTGTCATCAATTTTTTTCTGACTATACAAAAACTGTCCAGATATATTTACTAAGACACTTTTTAAAATATTACTGTTATACAAAATTGAATGGTTAGCATTTTCCATACTTTTTTTTACTATCAAAACCAACTTTAACCCTGAAGACTCTTTAGGAAGGTATTTCTATTCTTTTTTCCCCCAGATAAAGAGGGTTTTGCTCAGAAGAGACCACAAAGTATGCTTTCTAAACTGTTCTCTCTATTGTTTATTATGGAACAGTCCTGAGCAATTCACTCCTTCCCTAGCAGTATTTCAACATTCCACCCCCACTTAATTCTACCAGACAAGCAGTATAACACAAATGTGTGACTTTAGACATTGGAGCTGGACAGAAAAGTTCTTTTTAAAAAAGCATCAGGGACTCCTAGAATCTTGTTATAATGATTAATCCTAAAAGTGACTATGTAAGCACACAAAGATCCAAATTAGTTACGAAAGGTTAACTTTGAAATGGAAATTACAACTAAGTTATACAGCTATGGATTAACTTTCATTAACTATTTTATGTCCCTTTTAATAAATATGGGTAAAAAATAATTTATTTTCCAAGATTTAATACATAAAACTTAATTTACTCCTAAGTTCACCATATGACTGTCAAAATATAGCCTTCTGAAGCTTCTAACAGAAGTCAAGACTTTACACACTTGTATTAGCCTTTCCCTGTATTTGTTAAATCAGACTGGACTGGTCTCGGAGTGACACAACTGTATTCAGCATACTAAGGAAAGAGTAGATTCAAAGAACAGATAATCCTTTTAAAATATGCAGATACTGCTTAACTTTCTTGGGCAGTGAAGAATTGACCAATTCAAGTTTTTCTCCTCAAAGATAATTCCTTTCTATTCTGAGCATACCAGAAAAGTTTTTAAAAAATCATGAATGTTTGAAGGTAAATGCATCTTCAAGAAAACATGTAAGCATAATACACAAGAAAATCGTATCTAAGAGAACCAAAGCCATTCTCTGGTAAATTCAAAGGGAAACCCACCCAGTACTACCGAACATAGCCAGATATTGATTTGTCATCACTTAAAGCAAGAGCCCGAGTGCTAGATGAGTCTTACATTTTATAAACATTAGCTGTTATTGGTTACTGAAAGTACGGTCTCCCCACCTCCCAATTAAAGAAAGGGAAGGGAAGAGCCCAAACCATCAGGTGTTGGTAAGGGCAGCAGTGTGGGCAGTCCGTGGAAGGGAAGCAACAAGAACAACTTCACTCTCCCGGAACAATGAAAAAATTCGTGTGGTTTGATACAAGAATCACCAGGAAGTAGAAAAACCAGAAAACTGAGGCAGGGCCCTCTTTTATTACGCGCTTCTTTTCTCTCCCTTTTTTTAAAAAATGGGAGTGGTTTGTCACCGCTGCACACATGGAAATGCGTCTCATGTGCAGTAGTGATTAGAAAGGCCCAGGAACGCGCCTTCACAGGAGAGCAGAGATAACCAGGCGGAAGTGCTGACACACGCTAAGGCTTGAATTTAACGAGAGCACGTCCCATGCAAGTTTAACACAAGAACCACCATCTTTCAGCTTTATGGGAAAACTACGGTCAGGTGTACCCATCCAATAACATCCCTACTGTGTGTACCCGAGCCAGGTGCTAAGCTGGGTCCCACGAAAGGGCAGAACTGGTGGCACGATGAGCAGGTCAGAGCGAGAAATGCCACAGCGCTGACCACGGCGCTGACCACGGCACTGGCCACAGCGCTGACCACCGCACCGACCACGGCACTGACCGCCGCCGAGCGATAGCCACACACAGCTCTGCAGGTTGCAAGATGGGGGTCAAGCAAGACCGTGTCACTGGCCGTTTCCAAGAGGTGTGGCAACAAACCTCAAATCAAATGTCCTCAGAAATCCTTGGCTTGAGTTCGGTTTTGTTTTTAAAAGACCAACACAAATTACACCTGTGTTAGAAGGTAGCAAGTTCTGTCACATCCGATAAAACCAAGCAAGAGCACAGACACAGATATTTTAATAATAAAAAAAAAAGGCCACTGTCTCAGCGACGGCAGGCAAACAGGTTCCTTGGAGAAGAATCTCCATTAAACATAAACTCTGCACCTAGATCAATTCTGAGCACACACTTTCATGGCATCGGACCACCTGGTCTTTCGGAGGGAGTTCAAATTCCTCACCACTTCCCGAAGTTATCGAACAAAAACCCCAACAGCAGCAACAGCAAAAAGTAACCCAAAGAGACTTGGCGATTGCAAACGTAAACACGCGAGAGGGTGCTGATGTGGGTAAAGGCTGCGTTACCGAAACCGCTCGCAAAAGTCCAGCCATCCCTCCCGCCACGTGACGAGCTCCGGGGGGAGGGGGGCCCCCACCTCCGGTCAGCGCCGCGGAACCCCGGCTTTTCCCACTTGGCGTCCAGAACGAAGGGAAGAGCCCCGGGGAAGGGGGCGGGGAGG